CCAAATCTAAGCAATTTGGGGGCATGACCATCTCTATCGATCATGAAAGAATAGACTATAATAGGATTTGACAGTGAAAATATCATCACTTTCAATCTCCCAAACCAACTCATCCCTGGCATTATGTGAAACATAGACCATATCTAGCATTTCAATAAGAGAGCACCATTGGGAGAGAAAGATATTATTCAACCGACTATAAGCCAACTGAATGTTCCACTAGAGATTATTGCCCCTTCTATCCACAACTTCACTGACTAACATGTTCGGCTTCATAACAATCTTAAATAGATAAGGGAAAACAGACTTTAGAGGAAAGTCTCCAATCCATCTATGGTGCCAGAAGGAAATTTGGCAACAATCTCCTGGATTCCATCTAAAATATCTTGAGATCATAGTTTTACAATTTGTAATCAATCTCCACATCTGAGAGCTGTCCTTTCCTCTACCAGCCCCGAACCAAACACCAAATTTGTCCACACCATACTTAGAGACGAGGACTCTATATCAAATGCGATCCTTAAATTGAAGACTGTGCCCCCACTACTTGCACATCAGAGCTTGATTCACCAGCTTAATTCTCTGTATACCCAAACCACCTTCTTTCTTTGGAGTACAAACTCTATCCCATCTTAGAAGATGAAATCTCTTGCCCTCAGGAGTAGAACCCCACAGAAAGTCCCTCATTATTTTCTCAATCTTCTTCGCAGCCGAGATAGGCATATGAACTATTGACATCTGATAGACTGAAAGATTGGTCAGACAAGCCCTCAACAAAGTCACTCAACCTCCCAAGGATTGGTACTTATTTTTCCAAATATCAAGTCTGGATTGGACTCTTTCTTTTATCCCAGACCGCCAAAAGAAGCCTCGACTCAGAGATGGGAAGCCTAAGATAGGTTACTGAAAAATGATCTACTTTACACCCCATCACACTAGCTAGTTCATCAACAACCTCCTCCGCACAATTAATACCAATCATAGATGAATTGTGAAGATTTACCTTGAAACCAATTGTGACCTCACAAATTTCCAGAAATCGAGCAATATTCCTGACTTGAGGGTATAAGTTATATGACCACGGTAGTAGAAGCTCGCTTGAGAGCATACACGCTTATTTTATAGAAAACTTAAATAATGATAAAATAGATTGACATGTTTGAAGAGAAACATAATAAAGATCAAGGCGACACCATGGAACGCATGCGAAGAACTAGTGAATTTGACCTTATGGACCCCATATACTAGATAGGAACCACATATCTAGAGAACATCCTTTCTATTTAGAAGAATATCATGTATTTCCTAATATGGATGAGATAGATGAACCATGTACCTATAATGAAGCAATTAATTCACCTGAATCATCTGAATGAATCAATGACATGGATGATGAAATAATCTCCATTAAAAAGAAACCATGTGAACTTTTACATCTGCCTGAAGATAGAAGGCCATAAGATGTAAATGTGTCCCTAAAAAAAATTGAAAGTTCATGAATCATTGATAAATATAATAAATCCAAATTAGTAACTAAAATTTCACTACAAAAGAAAGAGTTGATCACGCAGAGATATATATTCTCTCGTAGCAAAATTTGCATCCCTAGGGATAACATTAGCACACGTAGCCTATTGTGTCTTAGACAAATGGAAATTAAAACAACCTTATTAAATAGAGATATCTATATGAAATACCCAGAGGGATATGTGGTTGGGCCAAGAAGAAAAAGCATATAAAGTGAATAAATTATTTTATGGTAAAAAACAATCATCTAAAAAAAACCCCAAATTGGTTATATAACTAGTAAATTAGACCACTGCGTATATGCCTGGAATAGCATGAGCAAATATATAATTTTATCTTTATTGTCATGTTTGATTATGGAAAGGCATAGTTTTGGAAACCACATCTTCCTAAAGCATCGGAATGACCTCTTCCCATGCTCCCCTACGGAAAACATTTCTATTTTTAAGGTTGTGTAAGGTGGTGACAAAGGATAACATGGCTCCCATAAAACATGAGGCTGTTCCATAATCAAATAGGGCAGTTTTACATTATAAAGGAGTGGCGGTCTCCAAAATAATATCTTCCAAGGTCAAACGTTCTATATATAGATGATATATTATTGACCAGTAATTATATAAAAATAATAGATAAATCTAAATAATGGCTTAATTCGTATTTTGAAATAAGGGCTATGGGAGAAATATCACATGTTTAAGGAATAAATATTACAAGGTATAAATTCTAAGCTTCTCTACTTATCTTAATTAAAATATGTAAAAAATATCCTCCAGAGGTTTAAGATGGAAAAAATACAAACCTATGAAAACCCCTATTCGTAAGAGCGTGAAGCTATCAAAGTAATAATGTTCAATTAGTGATGAGAAAAAGGTAAAAATGGAACCTATTCAACATAATCATGCCATTGGATCTATTATGTACGTCATACTATGTACAAGGCATGACCTAAGCTTTGCAGCTGGATTTGTTAGTAGATTTCAAAGCAATCTTAGCATGACTCATTAAGAAGGAATTAAAATAATAATTGGATATATTGAAGGAACTAAATATTATAAATGTTGTTTTCATGAGAATAACCTAGAAATTCAAGGATTATTTGATGCAAAATTCAAAGAAGATCCTGATGATGAATATTGGACATATTTTATTCTTTCGAAGATGTTTTGTTCCTTGGTTTCATAAGAAATATGGATGTGCTGTCTGATGGACAATGGCATCAGAATACTTGTTTATAATATTTTCTTTTTTTTCTATCGGTTGAATAAGTCATTTTATTAGGGATTTGAAGCTTGAAATAATCGATGAGCCACTTCATATATTTTGTGACAACCATGCAGTAATTTCATTAATTAAAAGTGGGACAATCAACTACAAGGGGAAACACATAGCAGTTGTGATTGATTAAATTGATGAGCCAATTCACATATTTTGTGACAATTAGGTTGTAATTTTATTAATGAAATATGGGACGATCAACTCCAAAGGCAAACACATAAAAGTTGACCATCTAGGTAATAATGGAAAAGATAGAACTAACAATAAGTCATTTGCCTTCCAGTAAAATGATAATATGCCCATAAGTAAGGTATGATTGCTAAAACATTCTCAAAGCATGTAGGCATAATGAGATTTGGAGAAATACACAATTTCTTCCCATAAAGCACTTTAATACTAAATGATAAAATCCTATGGATAGATAAAACCTTGTGGTATGTTTATGTCAATGGGTAAATCCAAGTATGGCTAAAATTTTTGTGATATATGTGGCAATTTCATAATGGGTAAAAGCCTTATATGGGTAAATCAATTTCTAAACATATAACTTTTGATGGTTTCCTTTCTACAGATTTATTATCAAACTTATAGTAGGATCAAATCAATTTAGACTGAAAATATGAAGCAGATAAAGGGTAAATATCCTATACGACAATATGATAGTATTTGATACGAGTTTAGAAGGTTATTTGATAGGATTAAACATATATAAGTGTATATGAATAATTGAAGTATACTATTACAAGAACTACATTGTCAATAAGGGCCATTGTAGGGAAGCAACTTAGGCATTTACGACCTTGATTGATAAAAAAAATGAGGCTAGGAATCTACCTTTAAAATGAGAAATTTAGGGTTAAGTTGAGAAACGATGACATGTCATGAGATTTAGGACCTATATAGAATGTTCTAAGTTTTTTAGGTGTTTTTTAGTATAGGACTAGGAAGGTATTTTTGAAATTTGTGCCAGAGCATAAGAGCTTCACATCAATGGGGCAGGTTCAGGTAGTGCTACCACCACGACCTCAACCACATTATCACCTAACACATTAAAAAACCACTAACAATTTAAAAAACGGGTAGGGGTTCGTCAAACCCACTGAATTACCAAAAAAAAAAAACCATGAGAGAGGCTATATATAGATTGCGGTCTGGGGCTTTCATATTTCATTGTTGTCGTTAACTAGATTAGATACTAACTGATATAGAAAATTTTGAATCAACAACTAACTGATATAGAAAATTTTGAATCGACGACTCATGTTTCATTAATGTCATTAACTAGATTGGATATTAGAGTTATTAACTAGATTGGATACTAACTGATCTAGAAAACTTCAAGACGTATTCACGTACTTCCAAGAATAATGCAGTAAAATTTAATGCTAAAGAAGGAGTATGACATATACTGTGATGTGTGCCATACAATACATACGACACACATGGCAAAATTGGAATTTCATGATATATTCACTGAGATTAAAGCTAGTGTACAGAGGTGAGGTTCTGATGCTTTCCTACTCTATAAAATACTATATTCACTAAAAAATTGGATCTAAAATACAGAGATGGATGTAAATTCAGAAATGCAGAGACTTAATTTTTACCTAAATCTCACATTTTGATAATCTTGATCTCAATAATATTCAATTTGAAGCATTAAAAAAAAAAAGTCGTAGTTAATTGTTGAATATTTTTAGTCAATACCAATATATAGGATCATCCCTTCCCGTCCTATGTATGGATTGATTCCTCTACAAATGAGGTCAACTCCATTTGTCAAAACAAATTCCATTGAATCTATGCACCAATCGTATCCTTTGATTCCCGTTTTCTAGGAACCCTTGTTCTCCGTGATCAGGAATAATGACTCTAAACAAAATAATTATTTGAATTTAAAAAATAGAGCATTTTAATTTTTTCTTGGACTAGTCGTTTTAACTCTTTGCATATTACCGAATTTGCAAATTTATTGAGATGCTAAATCATAAATATGCAAAACGTGCATGTTTAAATTGCATTCTATACCCTAGCTCCATCTAGTAGGGGACGAATTTCAAGACACCAAAACTTTTCCCTCGTAAAATAAATATATATGCATAAGAGGGAAGATAATAAGGTTATTTACCCAAAAATGGGAAAATAATTGTTTTTTTTGTTTTTAATTGGTTAGCGCATTGGCATCACCCTCTCCAATGAAACGTAGTTTAGAGTTAGATTAGGGCATTAGAGGCCTGATCATAAAAATTCCCCATCTCACCGGAAAATTTTTCGGAACTCTTGAATTTTGGAAATACAATACAAATACAACCCTCTCCCAAAACCAAAGTAAACGCAAAATAGGAAGTACCAGGGTCTTGCAGATCGATCTAAATCGTCTTCGAGCTAAACCAGAATCACCTGCATCTACCCAATTGCTAGAGAGAGAGACTGCAACTTCGCCATGGTCCCAATTGACGACTCCAAGAAAGAAAGAGGCGCGTAGATTGCAATTGCTGTGGTGAAAGAAGAGAGAGATTTCCGTCTAGAGAGGGTGAGAGGGCCATGGCTTCCATGTACCACAACAGTGGGCATGGACCAGGCAGAACCCCTACTGCAATCCCTCCACCTGCTCCTTTCCCCCATCCTCAACCCTCCACCTTCCTTCCCCCTCCCCCCCAACAACCTAACCCTAACCCTAATTTCCATCTGAGCAACAATAACACCGTCCTTCCTTCCCCTTACCCCCAAAACCCTAACCCTAATTTCCACCACCATGCATACACAACCTCATCCCACCACTACCGCAACTTCCCCTTCTCCTCGAACCCACCATACACCGCTCCTCCTCCTCCTCCACCTCCTCTTCCTCTCAGTAATCCTCCACCTCCCCCACCGCCACCTCCTCAACCCCCTCCTCCACCCCCTCCGCCTCTCCAAAACTCCGTGCACTACCCCCCTCCTCATTACCCCCAATTCTTCCCCTCCACACACAACTCGTCTATGCACAACCCCCCACCCTCGCCTCCGCTGCCTCCCCCTTCATCACCGCCACCTCCGCCACCCCCTGCATCCCCCCCGCGGCCCAAAATTGAGGCGTTTCAAAACCCTGCTCCAAAGCCCCCTGCAAAGGAGGCAAGGCCCCTACCACCCCCGAAACCGACTGGTGGAGCCCGCCCTCCTCAATTGAATGACCGGGGGAGAGTGGAGACTGAAGAGGAGAGGAGGGCAAGGAAGAAGAGAGAGTATGAGAAGAAGAAGCAAGAAGAGAGGCACCATCATCATCATCATGGTCATAGGAGTCATCAATTGGGGGTTGGAGCTAAGGGGCATTCAGGTTCAGGGATGATGAGGGGACCTGAGAGGAAGGGCCCATTTTTGGGGGCTGAAAGGGTTGAGAATAGGTTGAAGAAGCCGACAACCTTTTTATGCAAATTGAAGTAAGTTTCTTTTTTTTTTTGATTGATTTTTGAGAATGCTGTTTTGGAATGGGAATGATGTGGAATTTTCTTATGTGATTGATGGATTTAGTTTTTCTTGGATGTCTTAATTATATGGTGTTGGCGGTCTTAGTTTGTTTATCAGAACAATGATGCTTCATAGTGTGCAGTCTTTGCCGTGTTTGTAACTTAATGATGCTTCATAAGGTCTTCAATGCTGAACTTTAAATACATTTTTTGGCCTCTCGCTAATTCTAGATGGAATGCTACTTTACTGTCCTCCTGATGTGGCAATTCCGTTGAATGTGATGCTTGAATTGTGTTTTGAGGTTATTGCTCTTCTGATCATTGTATGGTTCTGTATTACCAACAAGATGATTGATACTTCTGGCATGACAGGATAAATGTTGATTTGTTTCAATAGCTTCTGATATTCATGTCCTTGTTGGTGTTGATGTTGCCGTTGTTTTTCCATATCATTGGAAATTTTTAGAGTTGTATTTGTTGTGCCCATATCTTGTGATATTTTTTAACTATAGCAATGCTTTTCTTTACTGATGACTTGGTAGCAATGTTTTTTAAATGACAAAAAAGTGACTCTTGTGGGCTGCATCAATTATGTAACATTCTTGCTGTAACAACATGTAACAGTCATGCATAGTGGGCTATAACCATCATGTGACATTAATGTATAATGGTTGTAACTCCTATGCATGTTGACCTACCTGTATAGTAACCCCTACAGGGATTTGGGTATATATAGGGCACATTGCCCCACGATTCATGTGGTGAAAAAGAAATATATATATTTTTCTTTATCTTGTGCTTGGATATTCTTTTCTCTCAACCTTAACATGGTATCGAAGCAGGGCTTGAAACCTTAGGATAGCCACCTAGAATCATGTTTTTTCTTCCTTCTTGGGCTTGAAGGTGTGGTGTATCAACAATCTAGTATTTCTAGCAAGATCATCTTGCTTTCCTTTACCAATAAGCACGTTTTTTTTCCCGAACTCCTTTGTTTTTCAGCAACCTCATATTTACAGCAGCCTCATATTTCTAGCAACCTTGCATTTCCAACAACCTGACATTCGAAACTAAGGAACTAGTACCTTGAAAAAAATCCTCGCTAGTTTAAGGGCTTGCTTTCCTGTACCAATAAGTACGTTTTTTTTCCCGAACTCCTTTGTTTTTCAGCAACCTCATATTTCCAGCAACCTCATATATCTAGCAATCTCACATTTCCAACAACCTGACATTCAAAACTAAGGAACTAGTACCTTGAAAAAAATCCTCACTAGTTTAAGGGAGAAGGAAAATGTTAGAAATCAAGCAGAATATTTCCTTGGGAAGCAGTCAATCTGACCACCCAAGATTGGTGATCACTATAGTTAAGCTAGATAGGGCAAACCACTTAGAATGGTCCCAATCTGCCAAAATGTTCATAGGAAGCCAGAGGAAATATGGTTTTATCACAGGAAAAGTGAGAGCCTCCCACAAATGATCCATCCCATTATGAATGAGAAAGTAAGAACTTTTTCTTTTGATAATGGAGAAAGTAAGAACTTTACAGTAATGACATGGCTCCTTCATCTCATGCAGCCAAGTATCAACAAGGGGCTGCTTTTTCTGAAAACTATAAAGGATATATGGGAGGCAGTAGCCAAGATATACTGACAGCGAGATGGTATGACTAGGATTTATCAATTGCATTGTGAAATACTGAATTTGCATCAAGGAGAAATGGCTGTGGAAAAGTACTTTGGGATACTAAGGCATAAGTGGGAAGAACTAGACCACTATCATCTTATTAATCCCGTTGTTGATGACTTAAAAAACAGGCTGAGCAAAGAAGAATCTTTGATTTCTTAGTAGGCCTACATCTTGGCTATGAACTTTAGATAGTACAAGTTCTAGGAAAGAACAAATTTCCCTCTCTTGAATTAGTCGATGATTATGCAAGAGTGGAGGCTAGTAGAAAGGCTATTGGAGAAGGTCAAAACTCAAGCATCCATCCTTAACGATAGGCCTTTGTGGCAGGAGAACTTAAATCCTATCCATGTGGCCCTAGTCAGGATGGAACAATGTCAACCTAGATACATCACTTAATAAGAAAGATTTATGCCTCTTGATTTATTGAAGTGAATTTTTTTTGGGATAATTCAGTTTTGAGCACTCTCACACTTGTAACATGTTCATGGTTGTAGATACAATAATAGAGCCTCTAATCTTATGTCAGAATTCCTTCATTACTTATATTAAGGTATTTCACAAGTAAGGGTTATTATGGCCATGAAGAAATAAATTTAAAGTTTTGCATATACCCAAGGGTATGTATAACTTGTCAGTCCATAGGAAGAGGACCCTTCTGGAAAGAGCATATGTGTTTTACTAACAAGCATGTGTTTATATATGGTCCTTCTTTCTGAGAAATGGCGCGGGGATAAAAGATAAGGCTCTAAGTATAAAATTTTGGCAAGTGTCTATTGTTATGTTATGTGTAATTTCTCCTGGCTATTTGAGTTTTAACGTACCATTACTTTTGGCTTGAGAAACTAACTAGAAATCTTTAGGTTTTTATAGAGTTCACCTTCTCTCGTTGCTTTTTGGTATTCTATTGAGTTTGTTCTCGTGTTTTTCTTTATAGTGATTTATCGTGTGATGTAGCCAAAAATAGTCATTCATTGCATGGATGCTGCAAAATTAGCTTGTAAAGTAAATTTCTTATTGAAAACAATTCATAAAAGGATGTAACCTTATTTGTAAAAATAAGTTTGCAGTAATCTACACTACCCATTTTATTTGTGGATTTGACAGTCTTAAAATACATGCCACTTTTTTGACATTGTTTGAAATAGTGCCAATTCTACATCATCCAATTAAAATGGATGGTGTAGAACCACAACCTTGCTTCTACAAGTAAGTTTGCCGGATATACATCATCTAACTAAAATGGACGGTATAGAAACCGCAACCTTGTTTCTACAAATAAGTTTGCTGCCTTATATTACCCACAACTTTCTTATTTGCTTTGAGATTCTTTCAAATGATATTTTTTTGCTTTTTTATAAGTGTATGAAATGACCAATTTTTGGTCATTTCCTTTTTGGCTTGTGAAGAACATTGTGATATGGAATGAAATTGTATATGACTTACTTCATGGTTTCCTTGCTATGGCATGGAGGTGATGAACTCTTGTATATTTCTTTTTGCAGGTTTAGGAATGAGCTTCCAGATCCCACTGCACAACCTAAGTTATTGGCTTTGAACACAGATAAAGATCAGTATGTTATTTCAATATTTCATGTCTTTTTTATGTTTTAATTTTTCACATGTAAATTTTGTGGCAAGTTCATTTCTACTTCTCTTGTCGTTTTAGATAGTGGCTTTGAAACTGATGTGGTGCTCGATAGATGAAATTTGAGGTTAAAATGGATCTTGGTTAATCGCTAAAGTCTTCAAAATTGGATGAAATAGGCTTCTGCTGGTTATAAGGTTTATTTAGTCTATTGTTTGGTGAGACTTTGAGAATGACATCGTTGTAGAGTAGGAACCAGTTGTCTTTTGCACTTGAAGGAAATGTTTTATGTGATGGTTGTTCTTAATTTCTCAAGCAGATACTCTAAATACACTATCACATCATTAGAGAAGCTGCACAAGCCAAAACTTTTTGTTGAGCCAGACCTTGGGATACCTCTTGATCTACTTGACATCAGTGTTTACAAGTAAGATCCTACATATGCTATTTCTTTAGCTTTTTTCTATTGTGGACTTTGTCTCATTTTGCTTATATACTTTGGATTACTCTTCAGCACTCCCAGTGTACGGCCGCGTCTTGCCCCTGAAGACGAAGAGCTTCTCCGTGATGGTGAGGTAGCTACCCCTGTCAAACAAGATGGCATTAGAAGGAAGGATCGCCCTACAGAGAAAGGTGTCTCATGGTTGGTTAAAACTCAATATATATCTCCTCTCAGCCTGGATCAAGCAAAGCTGGTAAGAGTTATAAATTACATTCTTCGTATTTAAGGTTTCTTATCTTCCAACTCCGGACAATAATGCAGATTATGCGGGCTATTTTATTTTTTGCAGTCTATCACTGAAAAACAAGCAAAGGAACTCCGAGAATCAAGGGAAGGTCGCAATCATTTCTTGGAGAATCTCAATAATAGGTTAGTATTTTGGAAACCTATCTATGTTGTTGGAATAAAATGTTTGTTTAGCTCTTCCAAATGGTTGCAATTTTTTGTTCTTTCACAAAGTCATATAAATGTGGTTAATGCATATATATATATATGTATGTATGTATCTGTACATCTATATATGTATGTATGTATGTATGTATGTATATGTATATATATCTATGTACTTGCAGTTATTTATATGTCACAGACGTATATTTTTCTTTTAGATAAACACTACCTTTCATCCTTTTTCAGAGAAAAACAAATCCAGGCAATTGAAGAATCGTTCAAAGCATCAAAACTACCTCCAATACATCAAACCAAACCTGGTCTACAACCTGTTGAAATCATGCCACTTCTACCTGATTTTGAGCGGTATGACCTTCCTTCCATGGTAATTCTTTCATTATCATTTAATTGGGATACTCAATTGGGTGATGGAACTACATTCCTACCTGCATATTCGGCAGTGTGGGTGTCGACACTGTGTTTTGTCATCAAAATCATTTTCTAAATTTGAAACTAATAATATCATGTAACAGGTATGAGGATCGTTATGTCATGATATCCTTTGATGGAGATCCAGTAGCTGACTTAGAAGCCTACAACAAGTTGGATCGTGCTACTCATGATGAACTTGAATCAAGAGTAGGTTTAGTTCCTATTTTCTTATGGTGTTCCATGGGCATGCGTGAATATGCCAAGGTTGAGTAGTATTTAACATTGTGCACATATTCACACATCTGCATATGTGTATATTGCTGTACCTATCCGTATGTCTATCTATTTATCTGTCTATCTTTGTGTGCACATGGATGCATGCATACATGTGTATGTATGTATGCTTATTTGTTTTTCCAATTGGATGCTTTTTTGGGGTTCCAAGAATCTGTCGGGTTAAGCCTTGTTCCCTAGTGTTTCCCTCTGCACAGGAGAGAGAAAATTTTGTGTACATGTGTAAAATGTTCAACTATGTTTATGTTTTGCCATTTCCAAATAATGCATCCACTCTCATCTTTATTAATCTTCTGAACCCATTATGACCACTTATTGCCCTGAAATTTAAGTATGCTAAGGAGTTAGGATTGCCCTCCTTTGTTACACAATTCTGTGTAACAAAACATTCTTGAACAGTTATTTGGGACTAGTACCTAATTTGGACCAAGTCAAAGTTGTCAGCGGATACATATAGTTTTTTCTTCAGGCTTTTGCCTGTATTTCCTCTGATGTGTTTGCTCCTTCTTGCTTTCTCAATTGTTAGATGGATTCGTTGTTTCGCTATGCACTCTTCATGGCAATATTCTTGTATTAACATTTCCTCTATGGTTTTTGACAGGCTATCATGAAGAGTTTTGTTTCTGGGACAGATTCATCTAAACCGGAGAAGTTTTTGGCATATTTGGTCCCTGGACCGGAAGAGGTTGAGTTACCATTTGCATTTCATTTTTTTTTCCATTTTTTTTATTTTGGGTATATCTCTTATCAAAACAGAGACTGCAAGTGTTGGATCCCAAGCTGGTGTTAAAGATTACAGATTTACTTATTGCCTATTAGGATTCCTGTGTGACATTACTGATTTATTCGAGCCATTAAGTACTATTTGTATTTCGTTTTCTTTTTCCTTTTTTTTTTTTTGATGGGTTGGGGGGGGGCGTTGTTATATCTTATCAGCATTTCCTCTGTGCGTTGGTGAAATCCGGGCAAGTAGCTACTTAAGTTGCCAATTAGGATTCCTGTGTGACATTGCTGATTTATTCAAGCCATTAAGTCACAATAGCTGGAGTTATGAGAATTCTGTTAGTAGATGTTATGAAGTCTACATGTTGCAAAATGCTTCATTTTGTTGATCACTGAGCTGTTTTCTTTTTGATGGCAGTTGACGAAGGATATGTATGATGAACATGAAGATATTGATTTCTCCTGGATAAGAGAGTACCACTGGGATGTATGTGTACTAATTATGCATTTCCAATGATTTGTATGCCATTTAGATAATTTATTGTTAGGATATTTTGCAAAATCAAGATTAAAAAATATTACTTCTGCATTCGTAGAATAAACTTTTTGGAAAATTGGGAGGATGACTATTTTTCTCATAACTATTCCAGGTCCGTGGAGATGATGCTGAAGATCCCACTACATATCTTGTCAATTTCGAGGAAGGAGGAGCAAGATACTTGGTATGCTTCTGGATCTGTAGTTTTTGTGTACCATTGGTTGATACTTGATGTGTAGTCATGGCTTCTGACATTATACTGTGATGCAGCCTCTTCCGACAAAGCTGGTTTTACGGAGGAGGAGGATTGATGGGAGATCTGGTCATGACATTGAAACTCATTATCCTGTACCTTCAAGAGTGACTGTGAGACGGAGGTCTACTGTTGCCACAAATGAACTAAAGGAATCTGGAAGAGCGCCTTCAATGCATGTATGCAACTGTTCTATCACTAGACTCATTGGATTAAACTATAAAGTTCTTTATTGCTGCTTTGGAAATATTTACCTAATTTAGTTTGAAAGCTTCAGTTAGTTCCATGTGAAAAGCAATTTCTATGCATTTTTACTTGTGTTGGTTATGCGCCCTGTTTGTCCAAGAGAAATTGGTTAGCAAAGGAATCCTCTGGACACACAATTGTCCATATCCAACCCCTTTATAAATTTGCTAGCCTTATTGAATAGCTTTTTTCCCTCAATGATCATATGGCGTTCAATAAAATTTATGTCATCCAGTTTTATTTAGGCATTGTATTTGTTATACTATATGTTTACGAATACTTCTTTTCTAGATTCTCATATCATGGCCATGAAGCTGGCACATTGAGAAACTTGCCCCTTTGAGTTCCATCTCAGTATCACCGATGCCTGCAACAAACTGGGGAAAGAGTCATGGTTTAACCATGAAAGAATCACTAATTATGGCTTAACACTAAGGCAGCAGTAATTGCCTCTCTGTAGCATATGATTAAAAACTTGATTTGACTTGACTTGTGTCACTTGACTCTAGTTGAGCCAGAGGGCCGGCAACTTAGATTAGATTCAGATTCAAACAAAATATAAAGGTATGAGAAGGGCATCTATTTCTTTTCAATTGGTTGAGTTGTGAACTGACTTTCGTTGCAGGTTGGCTCAATCTTTTGAACTACTATTTCATCATTATCCAATTTATCAAACATTACTGGTTGCTCCAACAAACAGGTTGGGCAGTTGATTAACAATTCATAGGAAACAATAAGGAGTGAAGGGGCCCAACTGCTTTTCATATTCAGACATATGATTAAGTCATTGTCTTTGATATTTTCTCCCCTCCTTCAGGAACTTTTGTCTGCTGTTCACATTAAAGAGTAACTATTGTTCCATATTTAATCACACCGCAATTTTTACGAAAGCTTGTGTATATTTCACTTTGTGAATTTTCTTGCAGACATGCACAAATTATTTCACATAATATGTATATGCATTTCCTTCAGGTCCATCCAAAAAATAGAGATTTCAATTAGCCTTTATTTTATGTCACTTTTCCTATCTTGTATTGTCATGAAAATTTTAGACGATTCTATATGGTTTGTTCTTCAAAATTCATCAAAATTCAGCTCTTTCAATTTTGTTAGATTTATAGGCCATTTTTTTTCTCCAAATATCACAACATGAGATTGGGGGCCTGGACCAGTCAACTTTTGGTCCTTAATATGTAAGAGCTTTGCCTGAATGTGTTTGGATTGTAGTCCTTGGTACTCCAAATTCCTTGAAATGCTTCTAATTGTGTATTGTCACTCTTGGGTTGCAAGTGTCCTGTAGTCCTCTGCAGAAAGCCTTGCTGGCATGGAATGAGAGTAAACATCTGGGTCAGTTTAAAAAATGTGCTTTAGGGTGATATTTTTCCCTCAGTTAATGCTTTGCCAATCACTTCATGAAATGGAAGGAGCTACTTCATCAATGTGTGTGCATTGTGTATGAAACTTTGGCGGCATTAAAACATATTCTATTTCTATGTTCTTGACTAATAAATTTGTTGAAAAAGGAGATGGGTTTACATGTTATGGGCCACAGGTGATTGTTTACATCAGTGATCACTTCAGAGCTTTTCACTTGAATTCAAGCTCAGTTTCGTGTTGAAGTATTGATTTCTTATAACAACACAAGCTTGCACTTCTTCTGTTCCTTTTGTTCAGGATCATTCGATTTCAAAGGTTGCTATTCCCTCAAAGCGAGGAAGGTCTCCTGTTGAAGACGTTCATGATGACAGGCGTAAAGTTTCACGCTTGCAAGACATGGATGATGATCAATTCAGTGGAGGGGAAGACATGTCTGATTGATGCAAACAATGCATGAAGTTTTTCAACTGTTTAAGAGATGTAAATTAACACCCAGATTTTTTGTTGTTCCAAGTGAGATTATTTACGGAGCAGGAAAGGGATGGACAAGTTCAAGTAACTGAAAGGGAAGATAACTTGGTTGTCTATGTTTATATGGCTTATCTCGAGTGAATAACGTAATTGAAGTTATTATTGAGCCATACCATCCGTTGTTACATGAACCTATTCAAAAGAACGAAAATGTTTTTTCAGGGAACACAATTGTATCATTCCCTTGATGGCTGTTATCTATAATGATATAATTCCTCTTTTTCCAATTACTATTGTCACATAATTTGGTGCCACCATGCTCTGTTACGGAGGTTTCAGTTTTCTGGCTTTTGTTCTTGTATTGTCTGGATCTTGCATTGTTTTTCTTTTCATGTATTTGTTCTTTCCATTTCATGATTTTTTTGTTGTCCACTGCAGAAGCTGAATGTAAATTTAGTTGCCATTAGTTGTAAATTTGACTCTCTGAATTAGTACTAAGGCTCTTAGTCTTATTTGAAGGATGTTCATGCTACAAAAGCACCTGAAATATTCTAGGAGACCAGAAGGTCCCCCAACTGCTTTGCTTTTTAATTATGAAAGAAAAGTAAATGCTGGTGAAATTGATCAATGAAAAAACTACGAGTCCCTACTCCATTCATACTTGCATACCCATTCTCGAAAGATGTGTAAGGATTGGGGCATGGAGACAAATCCTATTTGATTGCATTATTCATTTTTACCACATCTCAAGTTAATATTAAAAACTAAAAGGGGAAAAACACGGATGTGTTCATATATATCTTTGTTGGTAGCTCTGTACAAATATATGAATGATGAGTCTGTGTGTTTTTCTCTTATGGTTGACACGTCTCAAAATCCTCTATGTTTGTGTGAGCGCGCATCAAATACACTCCTGCGAAATATAGCACACAGGCATGTTTGTGTGTGCACACACCAAATACACTCATGCGGAGTATAGCACACTGTATGCCTATAAACAGGATGGAGAACTAAGATTCATGGGTCAATCTCAATTAATTAGAAAAAAGGTCAATCTCAATTAATTAGAACAAAAGCTAAAATGATGATGATGATACAAGGTTACCTACATTTAGTGTACTGCGTGTCCTCTGCAAATGGTTAAACATGCTCATCTCCATGCATTTATGCATGTTCGTGTTTGCAGTAAGTCAAGACTCGCGTTCGCATCCAAATTCGAAAAACTGACCTAGTCACGACAACTTGAGTGGGTGACCTTCTACAAATCGGAAACTTACGACGTGCTTTTCATAAGGGTGCAGTTTGTATAGAGCCTGGGCTCTAAACAATCAAATTAGAGCCTTCCTTCAAATAGTGTCGAGAAATGTAGTTTCAATATTGGAAATCTGTGTGATAGCCTTAAAATACATTTTCGTTGTTATTTATAAAGTCTAAAACTTTAAAAATAGTGTAGATGGATAGATTTATGAAAACTTGAAAATTAACGGTCAAAAAATGTATTATAAATACACTATTTTCAAACTTGAAATCCAGTTTTTTCTCATGTCCATGCATCTTGATGCCGAGATGATCAATTTGATGATGTTTGAGCATCAAAACAACCTCTTCTAGTGAAATTTTTTATGTAGGTTCAAATTTGATTGTTTGGAGCCTCGGTTCTATATAACCTTTTCCCTTTTCATAATATATAATTTTTGATGTTAATTTGACATACAAATTGCATTTCTGTTATGGATTTGGATCCTATCATAGAGGCTTTATGATTTGGTGTTAAATTCTTTACACAATTTTATAAACTTGCCCACGTCGCTCCATGTTAATTTTTTCTCTTTGTTGACTCGGATTTGGCGGTGACCGAGTCAGTGACAGAGAACAAGCACTTCTAACTATCATTTAAAAAAGAAAAATCATTTTAAAAAAAAAAGCACTTTAACTCTGACATGCAGGATGTTTTTGTGTGAACTACGAAATTTTAGTAATTAATTCAAAATTCAAAGAGCAAACACAAATTACAATCTGCACATCCAAAAGAAACTATCCACGCATCAAATACACAATGCTTGTAATTTGTTATGCCACACATTTATCAATGGGAGGTGCAGACTGATGAATCCATGGTATCACGAGAACGAGAGAGGAAGTTAGTACGGATAATGGTTTGATAAATTTGGCACTATGTAAAGGGAAATTAGTACGGATAATCGTATAATACTAAGGAAAACTAATGTAAATATTTTATTTTTTTCGAGATATCTATAAAACCATCCTAAATTTTTTATTTTACATTGGTCTCTTTTATTTTTTCATTATATTTTCTCTTGAAATGGTCCAGTACTTTCAGTTTCAAACTTTAAAAAATTAATGTTAGTGAAAAATAATGTTCAAACTGAGAATATCGAATATATTCTTGCCTTTACTTAAGTTCAATAGTCAATACTAAGAGTACCAAAAAAAAAAATTCTTTCCTATGTTATGTTCGATACTCTCACCTGATTAATATCATTCTATTATATTCAGTACTGAGATTTGAGAGCACCAAACACTTTTCATTGATCATTGCAATACTAATAAAACTAAAAGGGAAGTTGTATGGAAAGTTGTAAGGCAAGCCATGCTTTATAGAACATAATATTGGGTGGTGAAGAAACAATGTCCATCGGATAAGTATTTTTGAGATGAGGATGTTTGACATAAATAAGTACCAATACAAGAAAGGATAGGTTTCGAAATGAATATATTTGAAGAAATTTGAGAGAACTTAAATGTGGTTATAATAGGCGAAAAGATGAGGGAAAGTAGACTTACGTAGGCTGAATATATGCAACTTAGACCTAATACACACTGCATAGATGTGGTGAATTAGTTCAAGTGGAAGGCTTTAAAAAGGCAAAAAAAATGCCCAAAAGGATATGGATAGTAGTGAGAAGAGAGACGGTGACTTATAGTTTAACTGAAGATGTGACCTTTAATAGAATAGATGTGACTTTTGATGAAAAAGAATGACAAAATAGAATTCGTGTAGCTAACCCCAAATAACTAGGATAAAGCTCAAATGGATATTCTTAATACCATACTTTGTTAAAGGTACAAATATATCGGTACTCTTAGTGTGAACAATATTTTTCACAAAAACCAACTACTACACAGTTTGGTTTTGAGAGTGCTCAACTAATGGACATTTTGATAATAAGAAAATAGATGCTAAAAAAGAGAGATCTTTGAAGCTAAAAACATATATCTTTGTAAAATTTAAAATTTTAAAGATAGTTTTAAATATCCCTAAAAAAGAGATATTTACATTAATGTTCCTAATAATAATATGGGAGAAGTCTAATTTGACACATTATAAAGTAAAACTTAATGGGCCCTATGGAAGGACAAGGCTTTGGCTCGGTTGTATTACCAGTGCACTTTGAGACCTGGTACAAGGGACACTATTTATCCCAGATAGATGTGCAACATCAGACCTCGTTGCAACCCCTTTTAAATTTACATGGGATAAACTTATAAGAAGTTTTACATAGAAATTTATCTTATAAAAAATTATTTTTAATTTATTTTAAGAATTTTATTAAAAATCACATGTGTTTAGCTAGAAATAACTAACAATGGAGAGTGATTTCATGCAACGGTTGTATAGTAATATAATTAAACAAGTTTCAAAAACCATATTAGGGTTCTTTGTTTGATCCAAAATTTAAAATATACACTCTTGTCATTCTAATGAACAATCACAAAAAAAAGAAGAAAAATTTGAAAACACAACGTAGAAAGTATTTTTTAGTAACATAGGCCATCTATTTTGGTGAGATACTTAAATCTATGACTTAGAAGGATCTTTTATCTATCCAAATTTCTTAGATAATTTTATTATCATTAGATTAATAACTTTAAAAAATAAAAAACTGATTTTGAATTCATAAAGGCTTACATCTTGAAATTCACCAAATGGACGGTCTAGATTCATTGTCGGGAGGGAATCATTTTGACTATATATAAGATGCAAATTAAATTTTTTTTTTGAGAATGATTATTGAGATTAAGAGAGTGTGTGTAAAATTTTGGGTCATACAAATACCACAAACATGATTTTCTAGAAGTGTGGTTTCATTATATTATAATGGCATGGTAACATGATATCATTTCCCACTAACGATAACTTAAAATACCCCAAAAGTTAACTAATCAACAATATTATACCACAATACAAGGCATATATACCAAATATTTAACAAATTAATATTATGCAGAATATATTTATTTTAGATAAAAAATCTATTTATAATAAGATTAAAGGGTGAGGTTTAGTATTTATAACGTTGCCTCCTTATACAGTAAAAGTAAGACGCCTCTAAAATTTGTTTATAGATGTAATTTCGGTGTCGAAACTTTGGGATGGTTTGAAAATTTATTTTCATTCCTAAAATAATTTAAAATTTAAAGATTAGTACAAATTGAGTAGATCAATGAGTACTTAAAAATCTTGAAAATAGACAATCTTGATAACTTATTACAAGATGCACTATTTTTTGTATTTAGAATTCTCTTTTCCTTCATGTCCATAAATCTCGAAGACAATAACATGATCAATTGAAAGGTTCTCCAAAGCTTGAACACTCTATTATGTAGGATTTGAGGTATACCTTACTGCAATAGTATAAGATTGTAACCTTATATAAATTTCTTCAAGATTAAATGTCTTCCAAAAACCCCTTAAAATTTAAATCACCTTTTAGGCATGGTGCATGGGTCCTTTTATTGGCTGGTGCATAAAATGCAAATAAGCCTCTTTTTAACCTTAAGGATAAAGCAAGAATTAAATTTTTTTCTTATTTTCACAAACCTTTGATGTTGTTTCGCTAGATTATGGCCACTAAATATTGCCTTCTCTCGTCATGGCCCATTAAGACATCCCTTACTCATTAAAATAAAGGGTGCGGTTTGTATAGAGCCGAGGCTCTAAACAATCAAAGTAAAGCCCACCATCGAAAAAATGTGGTTTCAATATTGAAAATCTTTTTGATAGTCTTAAAATATAATTTCATCTTTAATTATAAAATTTAAAAGCTTTAAAAATGTGTAGATCGAGCAAATCTAGGAAAACTTGGAAATCTTGAAAATTGACGGTCCAAAATGCATTATTTTCAAAACTTGAAATCCATTTTTTCTCATGTCCATGCATCTTGATATCAAGATGATCAATTTGAAGATATTTAATTATCAAAACAACCTCTTCCTAATGAATTTTTTGAGGTGGGCTCTAATTTGATTGTTTAGAACCTAGGCT